GGTGTTTTTAAAACACGATGATTTATTTAACTTATTATCATTATTTTTTAATTTGACTAGAGGGAAACAGAGAGGGAAAGTGACAAAGAAAGCCTCCAGGTCTGGGACTCCATCGTGGTCAGCCCTGTGGGATCCTGTGTCCTTACCAACTACGCCACCTTCCAGCCCCCCACAAAGGCATTTTAATTTAAAAAAAAAAAGATTTATTTTATTTAACTTTCACTCATTTATTTATTTTAATTTGACCAGAGAGAGAGAGAGTGAGAGAGAGAGAGAGGGAAAGTGAAAAAGCCAGATGCCGGGTCCAGGACTCGAAAGGCGTTCAGCCATATGGGAGTCTAATGCCCTTAACCATCACGCCTCCTGCTGGCCTGGCATTTTAATTTTTTTTAAAAGTTCATTTGGGGGCCAGCAGGTGGTGCGGTAGTTAGGGTGCAGGACTCTTCCATGACTGACCACGGTTCTGGTCCCAGACCTGGTGGCTTGATTTCTCACTTTACCTAACTCTCGCTAGTCAAATTAGGAAAAACAAACCACAAATTAAATAAATAAATAAATCTTTAAAAAATTTAAAAGTTCATTTTCGAACATGTCCTATGATGACTTTCAGATTAGCTGGCACCCAGTCGGGCTCCACAGGGACAGAATGAATGAAGTGACTGCCTGAAACAAAAGTTCAGGGCAATCTCGACTCATTTTTAGTTTCTTCCTTTCCAAGCTCAGGCTGATCGCTTGTATTATCCTCTAAGGATCAGAAAGGGAAATCGGTCAAGTTGATTTAATAGTCGTGAAGAAACTCTTAACCCAAAAGTTAAGTACCATGTTTGAATACCGGGCAGTTGGGCCCAGTGAGAAGCGAAAAGACCCGGTTCATTCCCACAAGCCTCTGGCGATGGAACTGGGTGAGGGGACAGGATTCAGGGATGTGGCTGGCGCTTGCAGGGCCCGTCGGGTCTCCTCGTTGCACGTGGCCCAGGCGCTGACTTCGGGGCTGGAAGGACAGAGTCTGGCTGGTGCCCAGGGCGGGCGCAAGGGCCCTACGCAGGTGTCCCGCCTGTGCGCGGGGTGCGCGGGGGTGCTCGGGCCCTGGGAGATCCGAGAGAGACGTTATTGTTACACTGTAACGAGTCTGATTAACATGCTCCTGACACTTTCTCTTAGTTTCTGCGGCTCCTAGCAACAGTGCACAAAGGCGCGGGATTGTCCCGGGCTCCGCGGGGACACGGGGCAGCCTTTGATCTGCCACCATTACAGCCGGACTGCGCGACAGGCTCGCAGGCTCCGGGCGGCCCGCGGCGGGCGGGCAAGCGGGGCCCGCGGTCCTGCCCACTGGGCTGCCCGCTGCCCCCGGCCCCGCGGCCTCCCGAGGGTGCTGGTGGCGCAGGCCGCGGCGACAGGGCTGGGGACCCGGCCGAGGTGCCTCCTTGCCGCACGGGCGCGCCTTCTTCAGACCCCGCGCGCGGCCCCGGGCTTTCCTTGCCCTTCCCGTCGGAAGGAGCGAAAGCAAAGCCCGGCTGGTCACTTACGGTGGAAAAAATAAAAAAGGGAAGGATTTGAACCACAAATCCCGAAAGACTTTGTCAAGATAAGCAGATACATTCCGCAGGCGTCAGCCCACTGGCTGAAACTGGGTTCGATCGGCGGCAAAGCACCACCGGAAAGGGCGCAGAGAACGCGAGCGAGGCTGCGGCTCCTTCCTGCAGGGCCCTTTCTGTACGTGGCTGGCAATTCCTCCCGGCTCGGAGGAGAGATGCTGCCAAATAATGCCTGGAATTTAAACAAACTAAACCCAAATTCACCCGTCACAGAAGAGCCAGCCGCTGCCCAACCCCACCGCGTAAGCGTGCAGGTATTCAGGGAGGGACGGCAAGCCGTTTACTGCTCTTTCCTTTCCGTTTGCTTTCTTAGCCCCCACCCCCCAGTTAAATTACACACGGAAAGGGAGAGCGAGAATTGGCTTTTCCACCGCAATGCTGGGACCCGATAATCATGCCTGCTCCCTTTCCATCTAAGCACAAAGTGAAACACGGGGTGCGGAGTGCTGGGAGCTGAGGTCGGTGTCCCCACCCCGCGCCAGCACACGCCTGGCTCTGCGGCCCAGACCCACCGGGTGAGCTGCCGGCATTAATATGCACAAGGTGATGTCACCTGACGGTACCTTCAACTGCCTTCCTCATCCTAGGGGAGAAAGAACGGATTCAGCTTTCCAACTAAACCGAAAGCAAAAACGCAGGCTGTCCTTTGAATCCAAAAGCCCGGATTCTTTCTTTCTACTTTAGAAAACTCAAGGTGCCCAGTGAAGAAAGTTTTCCAAACTCTCACTATTGGGTGCAGAGGTGCTAACGAGAATAACCTACGTGTGGTAGGGAGGGTGGGAAATGACGGTTTGTTCTACGTTAGCCCAGCGACAATATGCCAGGCAAGGAGTGACTGTCCCGTTCACATCGGAGGCACTGAGGTCTTCATTTTGCAGGATACTGTGTTCCCAGCCTGTCCCTGGAGGGGGACAGAGGGCACCCAGGAGGTGGTTCTCCACGGGGACGCCGAAGGGAAGGCTCCCAGAGGTGGGGCCTCCTGAGTCTGGTCTCCGTTTCAATAAAACATGACTATTGATATCCTCCTGTACACGGTGAAATGAGGTTGTCAGCTTGTCATTAAGACCTCAGTAAAACAATGAAGACATTATTGGGCACCCCCCTCAGGCAAGGTGTTAGGGGAATAAAGCAATCTACGCCACACGGGTCCTATTGAGATTAATGAAAAAATTATGCAAAAAAATCTCAATTTCATTTTCCCGTGACGGGGCTTTGCGTACATCCAGTCTCCCCGCACCTAATGATTTATGAAACTAATCTACTGCGATCGCTGCGGATGTCCTCCCCGCAATCTTGTCCCGGCTCATTTTCTAAGTAATTGTTTCTCATTAGTTCTGATAATGTTTTAATAGTGTTACCCATAATTTAGCCCCCAAGAATTAATAACAGGGGGGTGATCTGGCAAAGCAGCTTGTGATGAGCTACGCAAAATAAAAACAGGTATGGTTTTTAATTAATCAGATTAGCTGCAAGGTCCTCTCCTGCACTCCGCTCCTGCCTCGGAGGAGCTGGGCAGAGCTCGTCTCCCCATGCTGGGCTCTCCCGACACGCTGAGGGGAGTGCTCCGTGTCCCTCCCAGCCTGGCCGGTACCCTCGCCCACCCATGACACCAAGAGATGCGAGAGGGATGACGGTGAGAGGAGTGTCGTCTTCCACCCTCTCCTCGTTCTTCAAGGGATGAGGCGAGCTGGGTCTCTGACTGTGACCGAAGTTTTCTTCTGCAGCCCTCCCGGGGCCTCTGTCCAGAGAGTGGGGCTCTGGGCCCATTTCTGGTTCTAGTGAGTCCCAGGCTCATGATCCTACCAAAACTGGGACCAGCGGGTATGAGATGACAGCTCTGGCCCCTAGGGAGACGAATAAGGAGGTAGTGGCGGGGGGGGGGGGGCGCCCGGGGGGAGGTTAAGGTGGCCGGATCCCGCATGGCGTGGTTCGAGTCCTGGACCCAGTGGCGTGAAAATCACACTGAGCATGTGTGCATAGTTGCCCAAAATCCTGAGAGGAGAATGAGTGGAGGAGAAGAGGCTGTGATATAGCCATTCCCCTGGGGGATGATTTCCACTTTGCCTCTCTGCCTCTCCAAGAGCACATGCCCTACAACAACCTAAAAAAAAAAAACTTAATTAAATTTAAAAATAAAATTAAAAAAAAAAGAGCACAGTTTGGGATAAGGCCTGGTGAGCTGGGGCCTAGCGAGGATGCCCTGTAAAGGCAGGGGTCGGGAGCCCTGGCCAGGCCCACCCTCAGCACCACTCAGAGACCTGGTGATAGGACGCGCCTTCTCAAGATTCTGATCCCTTCAGCCTGGCAGGCGGGGCTCCCTCAGAGAGCCCTCCACCTGTGCGGGTTTGGGGCTGCCTGTGCAACCGGGTGCAGACAGAAGTGTGTGCCCTTTCATTTTCGCAAAGCCAGACAACCCTGGAGGTGGGACGGGGAGTTAGGCGGAAGTGAGGTCTGCCTGCAGACAGCGTGGAGGCAGGTTTCGCTTTCTTCTTTTGCCTAGGCAGCCCTGCCTGTGGCCTCTAACATGGGGTGGGGTGGGAGGGACAACAGGGACCAGAGGGCAGAAGGCCCTCCTGTGACCCTCTGCCATGGGAGCCACCCTCTGTCTGTGTTCTGAGCAGAGCACCGTGGGTCTGGGTTAGCCTGTGCACACTTGTGTCCACCCTCCCAGCCTAGGCGGGCACAGAGACAATGCTGGGGTGACTGCACCTACCACCCCGTCCACAGGCCTGAGGCATAGCTGGCCTGGAGGCAAGCAGGCCCGGAAGTTGGCAAGATGCCATTTTCCTCTTCGTCCCTCCGGGAGGATGAGGCTAGTCCCCACCTTCCTTCCCAGCAATTCCGGGGCCACACTGGGACGTCCAGGGTGAAGGGAGGCTATGCTCCCATGAGGCGTTGAGGAGGGGAGAGCCGCTGCCCACCGCAGGTGGGGCCTGAGCTAGCGTGTCCTCAGTTAAGACCTGTCTGCTGACCCATGTTTGAGAAAGCTGGTGTCCCCCGAATGTGTCTCCCGGATCCACCATACCTGGATCCAGCTCCCTCCATGTCTTCCCACCCAGTGATGGCCTGCACCGTGGCAGATGGCGCCTTCCCCAGCACCCACCTTCAACTCCACTCTCACCTCCTCTCCCACTTCCTGAGGGATCAGGAGGGGTGGGGAGGTAGACCCCTGGTTGGGGCACATGCCAGGGCCACGTAGGAGATGAACAAAGAGGGCGTAGGAGGAGGGGAAAAATGAAACTAAAAAACGACTGTTTTCTATTTACCAATTTAAATAAACAGAACAGCCTTCCCGTGGTGTCGGTCTAAGAGTCGCAGTGTCGCTGCTGTGTAGGTCATGAAAAGGTTGGTGTAGAGTTTAAAACTTCCCATTCTGTTAATTTCTTAAAGAACAGTCGTCCAGAGTCCCCGACACAAAAGCTCATGATTTAATGAGGAACAGAAACAAAATCTCTGATTGTTGGTGTTTCCAACTTCGTTGGCGTCCTCTGGCAAGCACAAGTTGATCCTCGGCCGCTTCAATACCCTTTAGCCTTCAATATAAGAGTACATGCTGAATAGGGAACAATGGCTGCTTGTTATGTTTATTTACCCTTCCTACAAGCTGGGTTAACCTCTTCAAAACAGCTTTACTAAGCCCGTTAACCACACCACCCATATGACCTGTGGCCGCATCTCTAATGTGATGCAAATCTCGCAGGGGGCCTTCTGCACCAGCTCCGTGGCATTGTTGTCCTGCAGACGCTACAAGTTTATGGCCGAGGGAGCCCTGGCCCGGCCCTACGGCCCTGGCCCTACGTCTACAGGGGGAATGCCCTCAGTGGCAAACCGTGGAACCAGGGAAGGAAAGGGAGAATGGGCCGCCTTGTGTTTCTGCGCATTTATTTTTTAATGGCTGGGAACCATTGACCCAAAGCCCTCAGCCCCAGGATGAGTTCGTGTCTTCCTCAACGACCAGTTCAAGGGTATGGCTGTTTCATTTGGGGGTGGAAGTTAATAGGAACCCACGTTCAAAGTCTATTTTCAGAAGCTCTCGTTAGGAGCCAGTGTAATAGTAACTTCTGCGATGCCATCTCTGTGGTAGTCTTCGATTACTACTGAAATCGAGATGGCCTCTTGATTTTGTTATTTTTTTTAAAGGCCTGGCCTTCCTCAAAATGATCTGTGGTGTGGCCGTGCAGATGGTCAGTGTGGGAAGAATTCCCGACCACGAGAAGGCTGGAGGAGTCTGTGCACTCTTGAAAGGTCTGTTGCATTAACCATCTGACTTCCTCTCAGCCCACTCTTACGTCCCCTGAGATCATAAATCCGTAGATGTCATACCCCTATAAACGATACCATCATAAGCTAGAACCCAAAAGGAAGAAAGTTTATTTTTAAAGGGCTAGCAGGCTAATAAGACACTCCCCCCCCCCCCCGGAAAAAAAAAAAAAAAAAAAAAAAGAAAAGAAAAAGAAAAACTCGTGACTAACATAGCTGTGCATGGAGTGAGGTTCCAAACTGGCTTCCTAACAAGCTGCCCTGAGTATGATGGTTTGTCTTTAAGAAACGCACTGTATATGCTCAGCCCACCTGATGAGAGCTTCATTTAACAGATCATTTTTCCTTGATGGATGTGGCAAGCGTAACAATGTTCTGGGCCTGCTTCAGTAATGGCATGTCGATCATACTCTCTCGGAAAGTAAAGGCTCCCTGGAAAACAGAACACAAACTTCCTGCAAGAATGCTCGGAAATTATAGGCTTCCTTTCGGCGCACGCTCGTACCACAAGAACATTTTGATCCCACCTGAATTAAACTGACTTTCCTCCCCAACTTTTGGGAGAGCCAAAGTAAATGACGGGGAAAGATTTCTTTTTTCCTTCCCAAAGAGGAAAAAAGAAACACTCCCAGCATTTTAATGGAGGAACAAGATAGGAGAAACAGTTCACTTAACTCTTGAAACCGACGGGAAACAACTGTGGCAGGAAAATACTTCCCTAGAAGTTGGGCCCTCGGAAAGTCGTGAGGCATTTTTGCATTAAAAAAAAAAACAAAAGAAAAAAAGAAACAGAAAAATACTTCATGCCTTCTGATGACCTAATAGCTTTTGAAATACTGCATCAGGCTTAAAAAGCAATAATGTGGGGGCTGGCAGGTGGCGTGGTGGTTAAGGGTGATAGACTCCCACATGACCGTGGTTCGAGTCCTGGACCTGGCAGCTTGCTTTCTCACTTTCTCTCTCTCTTTCTCACTCTGTCTCTCTCTGGTCAAATAAAATAAAAGAAATAAGTAGGTGAATAAAGTTGAATAAAATAATTCTAAAAAAGAAAGCAATAATGTGTTCTAGCAACTGGTTATTGTTTAAGAAAGAGAAAACTGTATGGTCAGGTTAACAAAATGCTTTGTCCTGGCCATAACATGATAGAGGGGTAACAGATGAGATGGTGAGAACATGCAAGTGGGATGTACTGAGTAAAAGGACAGTAGTCTGGGGCCAGCAGGTGATGTGGTGGTTAAGGCGCTGGACACTCCCACATGGCCAACTACGGTTCAAGTCCTGGACCTGGTGGCTTACTTTCCTTCTTTCTGTGTGTCTGTCTTTCTCTGGTCAAATGAAAATAAGTGAATGAATAAATAAAATTAAATAAATAATTCTAAAAAAAAATGTCTGTTGGCATACATAGAAGACCATTTGGATGATCAGGTCTCTTGGTATAACCTCATTTTACAGATTCACTTTGCTTAGCCTCTGCAAATACTCAGTGTGTCATGTCACCTAGGCCCTGTCCTAGATGAGCGGCCTGAGACCCAGAGCAGTGAGTGACTGGAAAAGTTAGAGTGGGGGCTGACACATGGGTCTTGGCGCTCCAAGCCTAGATCAGATTCCCACATTAATAAGCCAGTTTCTTTAGTGCACCGCAAAAAGAAAACCCGCGTGGACAGAAGGCAGCACGCCCAGAACCTACAGTTAGTGTCTGGTTATTTACATTCTTTCCATCACTTCTTTTTGCTGCATACAATCACGAGCCTTCCTTTCTGCCTGCTGGTGAGAAAGGAAGAAATGATAGGAGAAATCAGCCTCCCCTAGAGGGTTGGCTCTGCAGCAATCCCATCTCCTCCATTTTCCTTTTGGGATTTTGGGCACCCATGCACACGTGCCCAGCTTGTTTTTCTTTCTTTCTTTCCTTTTTTTTTTTTTGGAGAGGTTTTTGCTATAGGGCACTCACCAGACAGAGAGACAGAGAGACAGAAAGCGAGAAATCACCCCCCAGGGGGGATGGTCACGCCACAATCCCTTCTCCTCCATTCTCCTCTCGGGATCTTGGGCAAGCACGCACACGCGCCCGGTGAGAGATTTAAGTCACCGGGTCCAGGACGCGAACCGTGGTCGACTACGTGGGAGTCCAGTGACATAGCCATTACGCTAACTGCTGGTCCCAACCCAGCTTGTTTTTCAAGCTGCCAGCTCTGGGACTTGTACCATGGAGCCAGCTATGTGGGATCCAACACCTTAAACACCAAGCCACTTGCTGGCCCCGCAGGTGGGAGGCGCCATCCCAGTCCTAGGAGATGGTCCATTTGCATGTATCGTGGTCCAGCTCTGGAGCCACAGGGACCTGGGATGACTCAGAGCACTGGGAGAGGCATGTTGGGCCCCCACAGTGGGGGCTGGGTGGTAGTAACGTAGGTTACAAAGAAAAAAAAATGGGAGAATTTCTCTCTCAATAGAGAGGGATTTAAAAGTCACCAGGATTCGAATCTCTCAGCCTTAGAACGGTGAATCCGGTCCTGTGAACATCTACGGGGCCTAACATTCTGCCCTGGAAGTCACTTCCCAACCCTCGCCTTTTTAGCATTTGCAGCCCCAGATTCACTCTACCTAATTTCATCTAGCCTCGAGCAAATTCTAGACATCTCTGAACATGATGACTGTCAGGAATGCGGTTCGAAGTTCACTGCGGTCCGTAGGTTAGCCCTGCTGGCGGAGATCAGGGCGCCGTCACATGCTGGTTTGCAGGGACTCCGCGACTTTCTCACTGGAGTAAATGATGAGGACTGAAAGCTGCTTGCTTATCTGCCCACCGAGCGGATGACGGCCTGTAAAACCACATCTGTCCTGCAAAGGCTGAAAAGCTGGGCCGGAGAGACGCTAGCATAGATGCCCTTGCCATCGAAGTGATGTGTCGAGGATCAGAATGACGGCTTTGGGTCTATGCCATGTGCCCCGAATCTGCTCCGGGTTCCTTGTGGCATCAATGATGAAAAACACTTCCTGTAGTTTTTTTACCACAAGGAGATCTCTTTCTTCTATGACGGCAGATTTCGCTGGATTTCCTTTATTAAGCTTAGGGTGGAAAACAAAATGTAGCATTTTTAGTTTCCTTTATCTCTGCAAATTGACTTTTTTTTTTTTTTTTGAGAAGTTTTTGCTATAGGGCGCGTGCGCTCGCCAGACAGACGGAGAGAGACAGAGAGACAGAAAGCAAGAAGTCATCCCCCGGGGGGATGGTCACGCCGCAATCCCTTCTCCTCCATTCTCCTCTCAGGATCTTGGGCATGCACGGGGGTAAGGTAGGCAGTGCAGTGACTCCAGCTTTCCAGACCCAGGAGTTCTCCACGGGGAGAACCTGACTTTCCACCGGATGGCGAAAAGTGGCGGTGGGGGGTGACGTCGGCGATGACAGAGGTTGTCGCATCTGCAGGCAACGTTCATGCGTGTTGTACTTCTGGCACTGAGCACTTGAGGATCTTTTCTCTAGAGTCCTACGAAAGTAATTTCTAGAAACCACAAATTCATCTCATTCCTGCCCTCCTCACGTTGTTCTCAAGTAACTTCTTCGGGCATTCAGGGAGTGCTCTCTGGCATACTCTGATGAGGGTGTTGGCAGTGATTCCCTGGGAGAGGGAGCGCCCTGCTGGCCTGGGTGATAGTATGTACAGCTGTTGGAGTCTTTCTGTCGCAGGGTGTCACTTTTTTCCTGTGTGGTACTCGGTCTTCCACTCAGTCAATAATGACCTCACAGTTTGCAGAGAATCCCCAAAACTTCTGGTGGGTGTTGGCCACTGTTGGGTTTCTCTGCAGGACACGGGTGTGGCCACTGGTTGCTGCTATCGCCCAGCTCCAGCCATGACCTCCATGAGATGACTCTTCCCTCTGGAAAGGGGACGACGGAGCTCCTGCAGACCCTCCTGGGCACACTTCTGTCTACTTTCTTCCCTGTTCTTGCCTATCTCACCTGAAGAGTCACCAGACAGGACTGGGGATGGATCTGGTTCCCTCACGACTTGGTCATGACCAAATCTGGTCCATTTCAGGGGTATCTGGGGGAAAATTTCCGGGTGTTTTTTTTTTTTTTTTTTGCAGAGCTGTATTTCCCACTTGAGGTCATGCTGCCATCTTTTTAAAAAAGTATTATTTATTATTTTAAATTTGCTCTAGGGCACATGCACTTACCATAGAGAGACAATGAGAGAGACAGAGAAAGTGAAAAAACAAGCTGCCAGGTCTGGGACTCAAACCGCAGTCAGCCATGTGGGAGTCCAGTGCCCCAACCACCATGCCACCTGCTGGCTCCATGCTATCATCTTTTGAAAACAGGTCTGATGGTCAGCCATTTGCTAACGCCCACATTGGCTTCCTCTGCACTTACAGAATCAAGCACAATCTCCACAGCAGGGACTCCACATCTCCCCACGCCACGCCCAGGCCTCGGCCCTCTCAACCTCTTCTCCTGGCAGTTCCTCAAGGCCCCTGTCCCCACAATGCCTGCAACATAACATGCACACCTCTGCCTGTGTCTGTCCTGTCTGCCAAGGTCCTCCCGAAGCTGAGATGTCAGAAGAGGTCCCCTCAGTGGAGCCTTTCTAGGCCTACCTGGTGGGACTCACCTCTGCCTTCCTTTCCCCATCCTGCCCTGTCCCTCTCTGTGGCGACCATCGGTTTTCGTCGCTGTCTTCCTCAGTGTGCTGTGGGGCCCTGAGTGTGGTCCGAGGCCCTCAGATCTTTGAATCTCCTGACCCAGCACCTCTAGGCCAAGAAGGAGCTCTGTGAATGCTGACCCACTGGGATGAGAAAGACCAGATGGAGGCCAAGCAAGCGGGCCAACACCGACTCGGCTGAGCAGGAAGACGCGGGTCCATAGTTGGAGATTTGGGTCATTTTTTCTCCCCTTTATTTTCTGACCCTAGGAAGGGACCATGGTTGTCTGAGCAAAGCCTGGTATTTTACCTGATTGCTGAGTCTCTGAAGCCCCGGACATGTGCAATGGGTTCCACCCCTGCTGTCCCGGGACCCTGCTCCCCCTGCCCCATGGAGATATGCAGGACCCCGGCCCACGAGTGTGGTCATCAGCTGGTTGCTGTCCCCCAGGCCTGAGGAGCTTGCTGTGGGCCCAGCATGCGTCAGACACTGGGGCTTCCTGTAGCATGTGCCAGGCAGATCTCAGAGAGCTTCCTGTTGAATGCGGAAGATATTAATCAAACATATAGAAATTGTTATGACAAAAAGTTCATAGGAAAGTGGAATTAAAGTGCAAATTTATTTTGGTGCAAAGAAAAGAAACCCATGCATAGTTTTTTCATGATACGCATTTCCATTTTGAAGACCCCTCGTCACCACTTATAAGCAAGTATGCTTGAACAGCAGGACAGCGGGTGGCAGGGGAGCGTTTCACAGGCCCTGACCTGGTCCGCTTGGCTTCCTTAGGGAGT